AGTTGTATCTTATATGGCTGCTCATGCGGGTCTTTTAACTCAAAACCCATGTCCTGAAGTGTCAGGCTCCACTGCCTTTAAAGCTTGGACAACTGTGTTTATAACTGAGAAAACTCTAGACTGGCTGTGGGGGAGGAAGGAGCTGCCACTGAGACCTGGAAACAGCAAGGGGCCCCATTAACAAGAGGGTCAAGGAGAGCAGCCATTCAGCCAGGCCCCTGCTTGCATTCCCTCACCAGATAACCAGTGTAACCCCACCAGGCAGGGATGGAGCTGAGCAGCAGGAGCTATGTGAAAGATGGGCACTCACATATGCTGAGAAAGGCGAGCTGGGTTAGATCAGTGGTTCTCAAAAGTAGAGATGCATTAGCAATGCAAATTCTAAGGTCCCACACGAGCCCCACTGACTCTGCATCCTCCCTGGGATTCTGACACCCACTAATACTTGAGAACCACTGGATTAGATGATCCCCAAGGTCCCTTGCAAGTCTTTTCTCGGCTGCTCTCTTCCCTAGTTGCCTTTCAGCTTCTTTCATCTTTGAGTCTTGTTGATTCCTGGGCTCCTCCCCTCAGAAGGCCCCAGTCCTGCTCCTCACTTGGTTTCACAGACACCCTTGGTAACTCAAGGCCTCTGGAGTCAGGGGACAAGAGCTGTGGGAGTGACATCGTCAGTAGGTAGAAAACCCACGTGGAAAACCTTGGCCAAGTGATGTGGATTCTAAGGCCCCTTTTCATTCTGAACTTCTGTGATGTGGTAAACTGAGGATCGTTCTAACATTATTATAAACATAATAGCAGCAACTAATAGAGCCACTTTCTGAACACTTACTGTGCAGGCACTAGGTCAAGCCCTCAGCTTAATCACCACACCCAACAAAGTCGGAGTCAGACCTGGGTTCCTGTCTCAGCTCTGACACTTATTAGCTGGGTGATGTGGGGTGGGGGGTTCCACAACCCTCTCTAGGTCTCAATTTTTGTAGCTTTAAATTTAGGGCTTTCAGATGGATGAATCACAAAATTATTAGGCTGCACCAAAGAAGCCAGGTACAAAAAGGGTTCATACAGTACGATTCCATTAGTATGAAGTTCTAGAATAGGCAAACTAACCTACGGTGGAGAAATGAGATCAGTGGTTGTGGCAGTTTTGGAAAGGAGGCAGTTGTGATTGGGAAAGGGCACAAGGGAACTTTACGGGATGGCGGGAAAGTTCTGTCTTGATTGTGGCAGTGGCTACAGAACTGTATATACATTTGTCAAAACTCATTGAATGCTACATTTAAAAACAGTGAGCTTTACTGTATATAAATTACATATGAATTTAAAACATTCTTAGTCAAAAAAAAGGGGGGGAGGTTTGGGATTGGATGACTTCTAAAAGTGCTTTGAGTCTAAAATCTTGGATTTCTATGATGCCCATGTGGGATAATTTTTACCACAGAGGCTCAAAGACTTTCATAACTGATGGCAAGAGAAGGTACATGTAAGCTTGTCAGTCTGGGGCTTTGCCCCTAGTCTCCTCTGTCTAACCCCCCTCATATGGCAGCAGCACCCAGGTCCTGATTCAAAAGGCAGCCTCCTCCCACCCTACCCCACTCGAATGCTGGCAGGACATTGATAAACTACAATTTATTGTTAGTCTGTTACCAAGAGTAGCCTCTGGAGTTGAAGTCAACTTTGAGTTTCAATAGCGGCTGCCACAGACCTGCTAAGATACCTGGAACTTCTCTAGTAGGTGTCACTATTGTCAGTGGGAGCAGGTGGGAGGCAGTTAACTAATTTAATGAACAAAAATTACAAAGAAAAAAATTATGAGAGGGGGTAGAAGAGTGAGAGCACCAAGCAGTCAGGGAGTCCCTAGGATTACAAACATATATTTCTGTCACTGAATCTTTATTTTACACATTTGCACCACAGCAAGAGAATCTGTCCCACATACCATCTTGATCTGAACCCCAACTCGGTAGGTTTACGTAAATACTCTTCAATGATAATTACTGTTAAAAAAATAGTGAAAACTCCTTCTGTATCCTAATCTAATCTGGAAAACAAAATGATATTTACATATTTGCAAGCCCTCCCCCAAATGAAACTTATTTCTGGATTGAGTATATCTGACTTCTTTTGAGGTCACATGACTAGGCAAATCCAATTTACCATCTGCAAAAGCTGCTTAAGGAGTCTGGAAACTCCTGTGTGTGGATGGATTTTTGGATCCTTCTGTAACAGTACCTTAAATACTAAGAAGGCTGACCCCACTATTCCCGCCACCCCCTCCACGTCTGATCTGGCTGCCCATTACAAAATCTCAAACCTTACATGAAAATAAACTCATTGTCCTGCAGGTGAGTTAGCTTTCCTGTTTCCCTTTCACCTTTACTGACTTCATCCAGAAATCCTCCTTCCCAAATAGTATGTCTGCAGACTTCTCACCATCAGAATTCCAACAGGTCCCTGGTACAACACAAATCCTTGCTCCCCGCATCCTTGCCCCCTCCCTAAGTGTGCTTTCTTCTGCCTCTCAGGAGACATGCAGGTCCCGTGCCTCAGCAGAGAGCCATCCAAAACCATTATTTTTCAAGTACAAACCATGCACACAGGGCACAGATGCATTGCTGGGCTACAAAAGAGGCCCCTGGGGAATATGGAGAATGTTCAGCTTGCTGATCAGTAACTACCTTCCAGGTAGTGACAAACACTAGCATCAACTCAGGTGGATGTCTTTTAAAGACTCCCTGCCAAAAACAGCCCAGGGAAAATCAGAGTAAAGAGCAGATCTTTTAGAGCATCTGGTATGTTCCAGATGAATTGCTTTTTGATATACCAAGAGGTACTGAGTCAAAGTCTAACTTCTTTAGTGGGGAAGCCATTAACTTACTGAGTCCTAAAGGAAAAAAAAAAAAGCAGCATCCTGGGATTAGTGCATTCTGAGTCTTCACTAAAAGGCCAGGTGTAGGGCGGAGAAAAGCAGAGGAGTGAGGTATGGAGTATGGAAAAAGGGATGGAGGAATTGGGCAGGATCTGTTTCCTTCGAAATTCAATAGCCTAGCAGTGAGAAGCATGAACGGTTCTGCCAGTTTACTCGGTGTATGGAGCAGGGCCACATCTCATCAGACTGTTTAATGTTCTAAGGGCCTTCCTCAAAGAAAATGCTTTAGGATGGGGGAGATGGCCAGAACACCATTCACAATTAAAACAGACATCCTTTATGCTCTTCCATGGTCCATAAGGACTGGTTCCTTGTAGTAGACACTTCTACATACAGAAAAAGACATAGATTTTAGTGTTGAGGAAGAACATCATACATAATCCAAAGTAATAACATACAGCATTAGTATGCACTCACTCTTGATAAAATTCTCTTTAGCTCAGAAAATACATCCTTCACATAGCTGCTGGGAGAAAACGCTGCAATGCACCAAAGCCTTTAGCCCGCATTCCTGGACCCAACCTATGTGGAGCTCTCAGTCAATATGCACGGGCAAAGAGGGAGAAGGAGGCATAGAGGAGGGACGCACAAGGGGTGGGAGGAAGGAGGGAGCGCAGGCTGTGGAACAAGAGAGAGCAGAGATCCTGATGACATCATAATATGGGAACAGAAATCTTACCCTAACAGTCACATGAAGTGGCCTATGATTAGGCTGGACATGTCCGGAGTGGGCGGGGGAGGAACCTGGAAGTTTTACTCTAAAGCGGTTTTTTGAAAGAAAACTGAACTGACTCAGGCCATGGTCTGAGAAACCACCTTTTACACTGGACTAAGCTTCTCCTTACAGGAAACTGCCAACTCACACAGTCATATTTAGCACTATAAAATGCATTGTTTCTAAAATTTTGAAGCACTGAGGGACCAAAAACAAGGCGGACTGAGTCCTTGGCCACTGTTAAGAGCCAGGATTAAGAGATCATTTATTTTTCTTGTTGTCCAAGAAATAATTTTCTGGCAAAATACAAACACTTTATTAAAGGAAAACAAGACCCCTTACTTCCTCAAATTTCAGAGCCAGCAGCACGTCCTGTCCAGGACAGATTTCTCAAAGAAAACACGGGTATTTTGTGTAGGCAGAAACAGGGAGGAGTACAAAGCAGAGCTATAAATACCACCAATCTCTCTGTGCTGTGCACCCAACCCCTGAAATACTGCAGGGCTTAACCATTCAAACACTGTATTACAATGAATCCAAATGGACTGCTACAATACGGCTGCAGGAGGGGACTGGTTAGCTGATGAAACTACTTGGTTTTGGGCCCCAATCAGTCATCTTTACTCAAGAACAGAGCTGAGTCGTGGGTCACAGCTATTAAGGGATGGAGAAAGAGAAGAACAATTTACTGAGCAGAATGGAAATCTTAAATAATTTTTTAAAAACTTGAACCACCACCTGTTTTTCCAATCTTGGACTGGGTTTTTGATTTTCTTCTTAATCATCAGCCTAACTTCAAACCTTCTATCAGTTACAATACAGGACACAGATGAACAACCTCTTGTTAGGAAGACTGTGGTCAGCCTTTATTTCTAAAACACTACCGTATCTCAATTGTATATTCCTGCTCCCGAAGAGACAGGGCTATAAAAATGCAGCAACTCAGCAATTCTGTGAATGAGCCTAGAGGTATACATGGGATTTAAAGAATGCCCTGTCCCACAGAGAAGCCCAATACTACATGCTAGTAAGACTGCTGAGGCTCATATCTGTCCGTGAGGAGGCAGGGGATGGGACAGGAACAGCAGCAGCCAGACTCCCGTGATGGAGCTGTCCAATCGGAAAAACAGCGCTTGTCCATACACACATTCACATTCTTCCTCTCTCATTCACTCACTAGCTTCTTTGCTTTAAAAATCAAACATGTAAAATGAGGACACCTCCATGGAGACCCCTCCTAGTAGGGAGGTTTCATCACACCTTTTGTTTTTTCCAGGAAGTCTACTGCTTAGTCAACAGTATCTGCTTGCAGGAGAAACAGTACATGAGTCCCTCTGAAGGAAGTACCAAAGAGGGTTTTGGTGGCCACAGCATGAGACACATTTCTGAAGTGACAAAGCTCTCCAAGTTAATTTAAAAGAAAAAAAGAAAAGAAAGACCCTTTAAATTAATACTTGGGGTAAATTATCATTTACCCTTCTCCTGAAGATGAAAAAAACAGATGAACCTTTTCTAAAATACCTGCGGAGAGGCGACCAGCATGGCTTTGGAAGGTGCTTATCTGTGCTTAGTCAAACTGAGACTGAAGGTTGGGCTGGACAGAGCACAGACGGCTAATAAAAGTGCATGAAGAGAATACTTGCTTCCTCATCGGTCACTTAGGAAGTGAAAATGGCACAGGAGAAGCAAAACACCTGTTTTTGGAGCAGACTTTTCAGGTTCCCAAATCTAGAAGAGTGATCGCCGTCCCTAAACCCTGTTGTTTGACTGACCCTTCTAACCTGGAGGTAAGAAAAGTAAGTCCCAGAGACTGTCACTGTCCACTCCCCAGGTGGCTCCTGTCCCCTACAAGTGTGGCTCACTGACAATCCCAGGCAAGGGTGGGTTCTAGCTTCTGACACACCCGGACACTTGAAGTAACCCCGCTGAGCTGGCACCCCAAGCATTAAGCGTTCCTGACAGGGCCACATTTTGGTCTCCTATCACCAAGCACTGGTGAGCCTTCTGTCTCAACAGACCCTCTGACCTTGCCCCATTATTCAAATAACTATCTAGGGGTTGTAATACTGTTCACTTTAGACGACTATCCACATTCATCCCCATGCTCTGAAAGTTTGGAAGGGAACCTAAAAATCCCTGAGAGTAAATCTCTTGTTAATCACACTCATTGTCTTCACATACATAATTCTGTAATATAGAAACCATGTCTGTTTAATTCCTCTATTTAGAAATCCTATTTAGCTTATAGGAAAAGCTTTTTAATGATGATGACTTGCTTACATTTAAGAATCTGCTTAAACACCCTTTCTGCTCCCAGCTGCTCGTTAGGCAAAATTCCTTCCCATTTTTTTCCATACTCTGATCACACAAGACACATAAGCCACAAGAGAAGAGGGAAACAAGAGACAGTGCTGCCCTGTACAGTCAGGAAAACCAGGTGTTTGGAGAAATCTTACAGGGGAGTGCTTTTTGAGCTTAAAAGTACACTTCTTTCCATCCATCAGGCAACACAGAATACATCTCAATCAAGAAAACTAATTCCCACCAACTGGGCTGTGTCCCAGACCTATAGCCCTAACAGTGACATTACTGCCTGAAGATGACAGAGCCCTTCCTGGAAAGATGACCACTGGGCCTCTAAAGCTGTTGGTTCCTGGTCACTTTCAGAATCTGCGATAAAAGTCTGGGGCAACATCCAGGGCCAGGATCCTGGGGACAAGTTCTATATACTAAATTGGATTTTGACCAAGGTAATTCCTAACTCTGCTATCTAAAATAATCTAATTTCATTCATTTTTGTTCCCTCTTTCTAAGTCCCTGTGTCCTTTGCTTGACATCTGCTCACTTCTAAAGCCCCGCCCTATACCATGACTGACATCACACACACCCCTCATGCCCTCCCTTCCCGCAACCCCTGTGATCACCAACATTCCTGCAACACACTCAGGGTCACAAGTGCATATACCTTAAGACCTCCCAACTAAAAAAAAAAAAAAGAAAGATAAAAATTAAAAACAGGTTCTTCCTTTTATCCTCCTCTTCTTTTCTACATTCCCTTCACCACCATGCCCATCTGAAGAATCTAGCTGCCTATAAACCAGCCACAGATCCAGTTTCCATAAAAGAGAGGAAAAAATTAGGTTTCCGTGGCACTTTGCTCCCAGTCACGCGCTCTGGGAGGTGCCAACTGCTCTTGCTCACCAATAGGACTATTAATAAATTAAAAGTTTTCTTTGACAGTGCCATTCTCAAAGCTGGCTCCTCACGCGGTGCCTTCCCAATCGCCCTGAGGCTCTATGGAGCCATTGGTCACCTTCTTGACTTTCTTCATGTTCTCCATCACCCCTGATGTCGTCACTCTAAATAAGGGGGAAAAAAAATCAGGAAAATCTCACAGTCTTATAGTAAAAGGCCATCTTCAACGAAGCACAGTGACTGGAAATAGAGTGGGTGTTATGGATTGAATTGTGTCCCCCCCAAAATGTGTCAACTTGGCTAGGCCATGGTTCCCAGTATTGTGTGATTGTCTACATTTTGTGATCTGATGTGAGTTTCCTGTGTGTTGTAAATCCTATCTCTATGATGTTAATGGAGCCCTGGATTAGAGGTAGTTATGTTAATGAAGCAGGACTCAACCTACAAGATTAAGTTGTGTTTTGAGTCAATCTCTTTTGAGATATAAAAGAGAGAAGTGAGCAGAGACACAAGGGGACCTCATACCACCAAGAAACAAAAGCCAGGAGAATAGGGTGTCCTTTGGACCCGGGGCCCCTGCACTGAGAACCTCCGAGACGGGGTAAGACTGATGACAAGGACCTTCCCCCAGAGCTGAAAGAGAGAGAAAGCTTTCTCCTGGAGCTGGCACCCTAAATTTGGACTTCTAGCCTCCTAGACTGTGAGAGATTAAATTTCTCTTTGTTAAAGCCATCCACTTGTGGTATTTCTTTTATAGCAGCACTAGATAACCAAGACATCGGGTAAGGGTGATGGCTTTGGAATCATACAGATACGGGTTCAAGTCATGACTTGCTTCTTGCTAGCTGTTGTGCTGTTGTTGTTAGTTGGCGTCAAGTCAATGTCAAATCAATTCTGACTCATGGCAACTCTATGTGTGCACAGTAGAACTGCTCCATAGGGCTTCCAAGGCTGTGAACTTTCAGAAGCACATCACGAGGCCTGTCTTCTGAAGTGCCTCTGGATGTGTTTGAACTGTCAACCTTTCAGCTAATAATAGTCTAGCACTTAACCATTTACATCACCCAGGAACCTTTGCTAGCTATGTAACCTTGGCCAAATCACTTGACCTCTCTGTGCATCAGTATGATAAATAATATGTTTCCCAGAACTGTCATAAGGGGAAAATGAGTTTCTCCAATGTACCCAAATCAATCAGTATCAGCTATGACTATTACAATCATCATTAATCTCTCTCTGTCATGGCCTCCAGAATTTTTATGGTGCACATATATACAACAGTTACAATTTTGAGATCAAGATTTGTATCATAACTAGCATTCAAAAACAAAGTTAATCAGCTGTCCAGACATTTACAACAACCAGCCACCATGGATCATTTCAGAGTCATGGGACAGAACCACATGCTTTACAGGAAGATTCTGGATCAAAGATTGTTTGACCACTACAGACAAAGAACTGGCTGCTTTCTGCAAATCCAAGCCCTGGTTTCTGCAGGCTGTGGGTAGGCTGAACACCTGTCAGTCAGCATGTGAGCTCTGCCTCCACTCTGTGTGCTCCTCTGGACAGGGACCTTACTCTGTCTCCTGGTGTCCGGCACTGAGCAGGTGCCACCGAGATGTTCACTGAATGTGCAAACTAAAAATGGGAGAACCCTGGCCTCAGACAGAATGAGGAGCTAAGCAAGGTAGCCCCTTCCATAAGAGTGAATCAAAACATCCTTTGAGAAGGAAGGGGTCTATGAGGAGATAAATTCTTGCCTAACAACATGTGAGCTGGACAAATTGTAAGGATCACTGAATCAATGATGGAACTGGGCGACTCTAGCAGGAGAAACCAAGAAGAGATATTAACTAGTGTCAAAAACTACCAGGCCCAGCATCTCCCTTAAGTACAGGAGGAAACAATGAGGCAATTATGTCCTCCCATCACAGACCAACACGAATTTCCTAATTCATATAATAAACTCAATCAATTCAATATATTCTCTTCAAGGACCCTACCTATCCTTCTCCCAACTACAAAATTTTTTCACCTAGGAGGGCTGTTGGGACCATGGTCTCAGGGAACATCTAGCTCAATTGGCATAACAGTTTATAAAGACAATGTTCTACATTCTACCTTGGTGAGTAGCATCTGGGGTCTTAAAAGCCTGTGAGCAGCCATCTAAGATACTCCACTGGTCTCATCCCTTCGGGAGCAAGGGAGATTGAAGAGAACAGGATACAAGGAAAAGATCAGTCCGAAGGACTAATGGACCACAGTTACCAAGGCCTCCACCGGACTGAGTCCAGTACAGCTAGATGGTGCCCGGCTACCACCACTGACTGCTCTGACCAGGATCACAACAGAGGGTTCTGGACAGAGCGGGAGAAGGATGTAGAACAAAATTCTAACTCACAAAAAAAAGACCAGATTTACTGGCCTAAAGGAGACTGGAGAAACCCCGACAGTATGGCCCCCAAACACCCTTATAGCTCAGTGGTGAAGTCACTTCCGAGGTTCACCGTTCAGCCGGGGAGTGGACAGCCCCATAAAACCAAATGGGACTAATGAGGTACAGCAGTCCAGGGACAAGGGCCAGAAGGCAGAAGGGGACAGGGAAGCTGGTGATAGGGAACCCAAGGTTGAGTAAGAATAGTGTTGATGTGTTGTGAGGTTGTTAACCATTGTCATAGGGCAACATGTGTACTAACTGTTAAATGAGAAACTATTTTGTTCTGTAAGCCTTCATCTAAAGTGAGAATGGCAGCACAACTGGAAGAGCATAGTCGACGTCAATGAACTGTGCATGTAGAAATTTTTGAAATGGTGTATATTTGGCTATGTATATTTTCACCAAAAAAAAAAAAGGTCAAGAAGGGAGAGGGTTAACATGTTGTGGGGTTGTTAACCAATGTCATAAAACAATATGTGTATTACTGTTTCATGAGAAACTATTTGTTCTGTAAGTCTTCACCTGAAGTACAATTAAAAAAAAAAAAAATGCAAATCAAAAAAATAAAATTTTTTTTCACCTAAAAATGGTAACATAGTGGCCCTACATGTGACACATCTAGAGTTTGTCCATCTGGGCTTAATGGTAAATAAACATTTTCACAGGGTAGGGAAAGAAAACTCCCTCCTCTCCTTTTTTCTGCCACCATGTTGCTGCTATATTCAACCCTCAAAGCCATCCAGTCTTCCCCCCCGAGTCTGAACTTGTCTCAACTAAGAGTCCCTCAGATTCATAGGCTATTTATACCTCTGACAAAATTAGGACGAGGTTCTCTTTGCCAGAACATGGTTCTTATGTGAATCGAGGGATTCCTGCGGATGCTGTCACAGGGACTGTAAAAGCATCCCTCAAACAAAAGAAAATGCCTCAATAGGCATAACACAGTATCACTTCCTGTCGGCTGGTTCACATCTCAGGACTGACCTCATTAAGAAGAGATCACACTTTTTCCCAGGAGGAATGGGATACACACAGAGTTGCCTCTACGGTGACCTTGTCCAGACTGGGACAGAGGGAGGTGGTACATCTGTATGCCTAAGAGAACCACAGCCTTTCCAACTCCAGCATAGGCAACCCCTACGCTTCTCCGTATCTGCTTAGGTCAGAAAAGAAAGGTAACCTGAAGTCTTACAGAAACACTCCCTGTAATAATGGAACAGTTCTGTGATTCTAGCACCTTGTCAAAAAAGTAGAAGACTAGTAAAGGACAAGGAGTTCAACATTATGTTGACACCGAGAGGCAAAGGACACTCACTGCGACACAGACGTGGTTTTGAAGGAAGGTTTGGGAAAAACATTTTCTACCTTTCTTTCCCTAAGAAAACATTCCTTTCCAGGTAGTGAACCAATTGAGAAAACAACTTTACTCTTTCATGACAGCCTCTGTGCTAGAGACAGAGAGGGGAGAAGAGGAACTGCTGCTCATGGAGCCCCCAGCCTGGCAGAGAGGTGGTCTCATAGACCAACAATGCAAAGCCACTTAAAACACAGACTGTAGTAGAAGGAAACAGGTTTGATAATGGCTTGGGTGAGAAAAATCACCTCTGCTCAAGAAATCGGGGGAAGCTTTGAGGCATGTAATGAATGATGTGGAGGGGCTGATCAGCAAGATGGAGGGGTGAGACGAGGGCAGGGGAATTTCTGAAAAGAAGAAAACATGCAAAAGCATGGGGGAAACAAAAAGAAAGTTCCGTGGAGCAGCTGGGAATGCTAAGTGGCTCAGTATGGCCGATCCACGAGGGAATGTGGCAGGAAGAGTCAAGGGCGAGCTCAGGCAGGGTGTGGAAGGCTGCGGGCCAGAGTGTTGCAGGTAAGCCTTCTAGACCCCTGCAGTCTTGCACTAGTGATTCCTCTTAAGGCTGAAGTTTCAGACAATGCAACAGTGAGAAAGAACAAGCCTTAGGTTAGACTAACACTCTGGAGCCTCCCCGGCAGGGACACAAGGAGGTGGTGCTTCAGCAACTTCGCAGCTTCCCAATCACCTCCCTGGGTGTCCTAGTTTTGGTGCAAACAGTGAAGGGTGCCAAACAGCTGAAGAGCCAGTATCAGAACAGCAGTCTGTACCAAAGACAGCCATTCTCCAATGCCCTAGACACAGCATGGACAGGTACTCTACAAAGCTTAAGTTAAGCCATGCGAAGTGGTGATTTTCAGTCTAAATTGTAACTCTGGAGGTCCAGTCAGAGCCTCCTGGAGCTGCACAGATCACAACCACCATCACTCACTTCACATATGGGGAAAGTGAGGTCTGGACAGGTGCGAAACCTACCCTTCTTGCCTCTGCTCATTCCTCCTTTGCCCGACTGGTTCTTTCTCACCCTTCAAGAAGCCTGCCCTGGCCGCTCCAAGGTGGCGAGATGTCTGCCCGCTCGGCTCCAGGCACACACCTCTACCACAGCCCTGTCTATATTATACCTGTCATACCATGAGCTCCCTGAGGGCAGGACTTCTGCACAACTGGTGCTCCACAACTGCCTGTAGGAATGATGGAGCCACTGACAGACAGGCACAAGCAGACTCAGTGCCCAGGGCAGGCGGGCCTCTCTGCCTGCCAAGGCTGATGCCCATTCCTCTCTGCCTCTGGTGCCTGCTCGGGGAAGCAGTTCTTTGAGCTAGGGTGGCCCTCCAGGCTTCACCTGAAGGCTGGCTAGTAGAGTTCCTGAGCCA